GAACAGTTTCCCTCTCTATGAGTTCTTAGTATTAAGAAAAAATAGAAGGTTAGACAATAGAACTGTATTTGCCTTTTCACTTGTATTTCACGACATAATTACAGGCCTTTTGGACCAAAGGAAAGGTAGAGGGGCCTCTAAAGTCCAGTGGGTTAGAATCGTATGAAATATTTGCATGGTCCTATGTCTGACAAATTATTTCTTCAGAAGAAGCCTCCTACAGGCTTCATTGTCCCAGACTGAGTGGTAGAATTTAGTTTATCACGTCTTCCTTTCTACCTTCCAGAGACATGAGATTTGTTTTCTGGGTTTTGTCTTTGCGCCTCAGTTTCAAAAAACTGATTTTTCTTAATATGTGATATGCTGCAAGATAAATGCAAAGTTAACATTAGTGTCCAGAACTATCATGCAATAACAAATAGAAAAGGTCCTATTACTTTATATCTTGAATGGTTTTGCTAGTGCTGTGTGGCTATTGCGCTTTTGCTGTAGTGGATACTGCCTGTAAGGGTATTTGCAATACTCCTGCAAATGGATGGTGAATATGAAAAAACAGAGATACAAGAAGTAAAGAAAGATTTTCTTTTGAAATTTCTATGATTCTATGATTTTGATGTTTGGTTTTAGATTTCATTGGACTACTATAGGAAAGTCTCCTCTGTATCCTGAAATGAGGGAATCAAATCATATTTTGCCTAGCAATGGCTGCTTATGAATGTCAAGGCAGAAACCAGACCAGTATTCATTGAAAAACAGGGGAAGGAGGGTATAAAAGGAAATAAGATGTTTTGTATTGCTTACTGTATTAATAGACAAAATTTGTCTAGATAATATGGTAGTCAGGAAATCACTGGCATGTGTAAAAAGGAAGGTCAAGGCTTTATATGTGTTTTATACATGGCCTAAAGTTTCTTGAGCTGTGAAATTAAAAGTGGTCTCTCTTCCTATTGACTTTTAAGAAGAAACAGATTTTCTCTGCTTTTTATTTTTTGGCAGTACTTGTCATTCCCTCTTGCTAAATATTGGCTTGTTCTCTTAGATCAGGAGAGAGATGTCAAGTTATTATGATAGTCAATCTGAGGCACCTACATATTCTGGGAGAACAAATAGCCTGTTTAAAGAATAAAGTATCCTTCAGTATAAAGTACCCTACTGGGCGAATTTTGCCTTTTAGATGGAGACATGAAGAGGAATACTTCCGTAACTAAATTTCAAGGACACAGTCTAAATGCTCATTAGGTATGAAAATCGGAGGTGATGTGTCAGGCCCAGTAAAGTCTGAGGAAAACTTGCTGCTAATTTTAATGATCCAGTATCCTTGTGATAGATCTTACTACTCCCTTATTGCTATGTCATTACACTCTTATTTTTATACATAGAGAAATGATATTGTTAGTATCTTACTGCTGTAAACAATTTTTAATACTTAACTGAGTTTCTTGAGTGTTCAGGTAACAAACCCAGGACTCTTACTAAATCTTTTATTGTTTCAGTGTCTTGTGGTTTCCCTACCAATTTTTCACTCTTAAAGGTCATATCTATTTATCTTTTAAGGTTTTCTGTCTGTTTTGTTTGAGGGAATATAATGCTTATACTCATGTCTCTTCTAGCACAGCCAGAGTTGTCGTTTTTAAAGCTTGGTATTACAGTTTATATTGATTTCACAGTTTCATAACATCAAATTCAATTAATTGAGCAACTATGATCTAAGTGGCATTTTTTAACTGCATTTACATTTTCTTTTTTGCATCAAAACAGGTTCTCAATTGTGTCTATTTTCCTATAGGTGACAGAAATCTCTTCCTCTCTTTTTATGGTTTTTGTTTTTTTTTCTCTGAGACGTGGGCATAAATAACTTTGGCTTCTCTAAACCTCCCTACAGGGCTATTTCAAGGCTTCCCAGCAGCATACACAGAATTAGATTTTCATGTCCAAAGGATCTCTAAGGAGGCAAAATTAAATTATACAACAGAACAGAAAATAAGGGAGTTCTGGTAAAGGAATGAAGGCTGGGAGAGAAGAGCAGGAGGCAGGGTGGCCTGGGTTGGGAGTTCTAAGGACTTATATAAAAGCCTGAGATCTGTGGGTTGGTTGAAGATCTTTCTGATCTCACCTGTCTCCTCCAGGTGCTTCCCTCTGTGCCAGGTATGCAAACCCAGTCTATCCCACCTGGGAGACTTCTGACGCCCCTTTCTCCCATGCAGCTGTTTACTCCTTTCCTCCTCTTTGCAAATGCAGCTCTCTTTCCCTGCAACAGCTCTCACGTCTCCCTTTGCACCTGTGGTCTAGGAAGACCTGGGTTTCTGGCAGCAGGGATAGGTGAGAAAGGTTATAGCAGTAACTGTTTCTTGACCCTTCATACACATTTCTCATAATGCTTCCTTTTTAGTGCTTTATCAGTAGCAGAAATCTGGGCAAGACAGAACTCAGTTGTGCAGTATAAAAAGAGCCAACCCTAGTCTGCAGTAGTCTGTAAATTAGCCAGTTTTATGTTACTCATACCTGGGTTGTCTAGTTGTGTAAGAGTACTGGTCGATTTATTCCAGGATTGTGTCTAATGAACTCTGATTGGTCCTTTTTAGAATGATCAGGAGATCTGACTATATAATATTTCCTCTTTCTTCTCATTCATATTGACAGTAATTTAAATTCCTGTTATCCCCACTCTTTCTTAGGCTATTTATATAAAATATATCTAATGGAAAAAATACAGCTCTTATTCTGCTTCTACATTTTTTCTATTGGTATAATTTTTCTGTACTCTATTCCTGTAATGACTAAATACTCCTATGTTCTCCCTTGAATGATACAAATATATTGAATTTCATTATTCATGTTCCTTTAGTTGTGTTGAAAAATTCTCTTTGATGTTATGTGTGCATATTTTTTTTTTACCTTTAGAGCATGCATTGACATTTTTCTGTGACTTTTGTCTTCATTCACTTACACTGGCTTGTTAAGGTCACTGCTAATATGTATTACCTGCTTTCCTAGCATTGCTTTACTTAGCATTGCTGCAGTTCTTTGCTTTTTGCTCCGGGGCCAAGGAACACTTTATTCTCTGGTACAACAATTCTGACATTTAAAATATAAACATAGGGCAACCACCATAGAAGATGGCATCATAAATAGAAGGGAAAGACCTGTAGTCTGTTTTCTTTGTCTATGCAAATGTATAGCAGTAATAGCCTTTCATGGCCCACCTCTGCAGACTTAACCCAATCCTTTTAATAATCTGTATAAGAATATTGGTTGCTATGGCAACACATTCTGTGGTACCACTTGACTGTCAAAATAACCTCATGAAATATCATGCTAAGAATGTTTTAGAAATTGACTTTTACAATAAAAAGTAAATAAATCCGCCTAGCTTTAGAAGATGTGGCTAGATTTATATAGTCTGCAACAAGGGATCAACCATTTTCTAACTAGTGGAAATAGATATATTGTGCTTCTCATCTTTGGTGAGTGAGCTGAAATAGAGTTTAGAAATATTTTTTTCTGCTTAAATTAATGGTGTACCAGCCACATCTGTGTAGAAGAAGTTAGCACAAGAGTCAAAGGTTAAATGATACTCAGGTGTTACTAAGTTTGAGTTAGTGCCAGTCCGTGCGATGTCTTTGCTTCTCTTACAGCTTCCATTAGCTTGTGTTCATGTTTAGAACTGCTGTTTCTGTGCTTCTTTCTCTCCCCATACTTCTTCATTTCTGCTTTCCTTTTCTTAGAGCCAACTCCTTGCTTTTCTTTATTTTGTTGGCTAAAATAGTATGCAGTTAACTGTTTGGAGGTTTTTGTATTATTTTTATATGAGCCTCATAGCAGTACTTTAGATCTAATGTTTAACACCAGGTTAATAGACGTGGTCAGCCTCAACAACATTACATTGGTCAATCAAAAATCCAGCCACTTCTGAAAGATTAAGACAAGCATTCCTAAAGACAGCATTTAGTATCTGAATATCAGGTAGGCTGCACAAACAAATGTCAAGCAGGCTAGAACAAGTATTGCATATTCTGATATAAATATGGACAAAAAAATTAAGGTATGAGTAATATTTACTCTTTTTTATTGTTGTTGTTGTTACTTTTTTTTTTTTTAAACCAGATTTTCAATAATCACTCATTACTGGCTTAACTTTCCTCATCTTTTCCCTGAAATCAATAGAAGTTGTCACTGCAGTTCATTCAGTTGAGGTGCGCTATCCTGTATAGAAAATAACATAAATAAATGGGAACTGTTCACTCTTCATATGTTTGGCTGTCATAGAAAATTAGTATACTCTTTTAAGTGAAAACCAGCATTCTGACATTCCCTTATCACTGAGAACAATATGGAAGCCTTAATGCTGGCAACTGAATGACTTTTCTCAGTACGTTTCATCCCTTCTATCCAATGAAACAAAATAAGGCAGGTCAATTTTAAATAAAAGTTTTGCTTACAAAACAAGCTAACACATTTATTACTGATAAATTTAAAATAAAAATGCAAACCTCATAATTTGATTGAATTGATCTTTTTTCCCTGAAAACCTGTGGAGTGATCCAAGCAAATGTAATACAGTTGTACTTTTCTGAACACAGGAGATGAGTATTGAAGCAAGATCCCTTTAGCTTATATGATTTCCTATTTGGGGGTAGTATTTATTTTTTTAAATGTTAGTTTTTATTCTCTGTGGTATATCCTAAGCTTCATGATGTTAAAGCAAATTTTATAGTAAAATGGAGTAGAAATAGACAATAATTGATAATAAAAATATATAATTTTAATGTATATTATTGTGTTCACTTCTATTTAAAGTATAATTGCAGATACATCAATATAAATATTTTCCTTAGAAAGTGTGATTTTCATACAGCAGATTATCAGCTGAGTAGTTACTTTGCATTAAAATAGTAGTTTAACTTTTGGAAATTATAAATGGGAATCTTTTAAGTTCTTTTAAGTAGAATATTTCATTGAGTATATCTCTATGTTTGATTTGAAAGTATTGTTGCTTTAAGCAGAGGCTGCCTTCAACACGTTTATCACCAAGAGAGGAAGAAGATGATGATGCAGGTGAAAATACTTGTGGCCCTTCAGGTATATGGGAGGCATTGACACCTTGTAATGGATGCAGGAACCTCGGATTCCCCATGCTTGCACAGGTATATGTTTACCTTTCCATCATAAAACTTATTAACTGTAGAAGAACTGTTAATTCTGTCTTACAGTCCTTTCTAGTTTTGCTTTATTCCCTTCAAAATTGTTATTGTCAGTCTTCATTTAAACATCAAAATCTGTTTTTAAAATTAAATGTTGGGGTTCAGTCATCCTGCTGTAATACTCATCCAGGTAAGTTTAAGAACAAGATAGTTTGCAGTTTATTACCCCCATTTTCAACAGTTTTTGTGTTGCAGAGCTTTATTTTCTCATTCTGTCCGGAAAGAAATTTTGAAGTCAGTTTCATTTGGGATATATATTCTATTTTTGATCAGCTTCTAATTCATGTGATGACATCTCAGCTACTTTCTTTATAGAATTAACTGAGGACACCATGCACAACTCGGCTGATGTAAGAATATAACCTAAAAATTCTTTAAGATTATGTAAGCTAAAAAAAGTCTTCAAACATTTTCAAATGCTCATAATAACACAGAGGAGAATAAATAAAAATGGGTAATGTACTTGGGTCTAAGTCCCAACAATTCTCAGAGCAGACCAATCTGCAGTATCCACCAAGGCATGCCAACAGCTGTGTCCTGAACAAGTTGCTACAGAACAGGATGATGCTTATTACTGCTTCTGGGTCTCCCTTGTTCTGTCCCCTTACTATAGTTTAGCATTCTCATTTCTGTAACATCTTTCCTGCGCTTTTCTTGTAGCATTGAATGGAGGCCAGCCAAATTTGTGTTTAGAAATGCCTGGTTTTTCAGTTGCATCCTTACTTGGCACTGCATGTAAATAGCTTTGTCGGATTCTTGTGTACCAGATTGGAATTACATATCCTGTCTCACCACACTTTATACACTGTTGCTTTCATACTGTGACTGTACGTTTTATTCCCTTTAGTCTCATGAGACTTGCACCTGTTTGAAGTCAATGCTAAAGCTTCCAGTGCAGTCAGTGGAAACAGGATATGGCAACTAATGTGCTTGAATAACAATGAGCACTGCCCTGTCTTCTTATAAGGAGCTTTTATATTCCATTCCCCTTTCTGTAGTTGTTTTCTACTTCATACTATCTATCATTTTAGACATTTGGCAAGATGCAGAGCCATCAGAATTATCCTGATATATAATAGGAGTGACATAGTTACTAATTCCTCATTTTTAAGAATTTGTTTCAAAAAATATTTGTTAAATGTAGCTTATTTAAATATCTGTCTCCTATGGTTTAATTATTGTTAAATTTTCCTATGATGACCACACATGTCATTTTGGAGTGACTGCCTAATTTAGAAAAAAATAATTTTTGTTATCCTTACTTCTTTTTAATATATAAAAGATTTGTAAAGTCTGTTATAAAATTGAAAAATACAATGAAGTTAGCTTGGTTAGTTGATATCTCCTTTTTATAAAAAGTGATGTAAGTTTTAAGATAGTGACTTCTGAATAAGTTTTATTCATTGTGCTTAAGTCTTAAACTCAGCCTCCCAATATCTCATCTTTCTCTCTCTGAGAACTAATATGATTTTTAATTATGGATAAAAAAAAGAATGTATTTATTCGGTGTTCATTCATGAAATGGCAGAACGCTTTTCTAGATTGTTTCTCCATAAAAAATTGAACACAGAGGTAGTTTGATTTTCTTTTTATGGAAGAAAGGAAAAAAAATTATGTAGTGAAAAATCTCCAAATTACAAACCAGTGAATTCACTTTATAAAGTGTTGCCATCCCTGTATGCAGTCTTTCAAGCTGTTAGCTAATCTGTTGGATCTTTCACATTCACTTTGAAATGCAGAAGAGAACATCTTGTTCTAAGGGATTGAGAACACAAAGTATTTATTTCAATTTTAGATTAAGACCAATATCTTGAATTCGTTTAACAAATTGTGATAGATATAATCTGCAACAGCATGTTTTAGGTAAACTAACAAAAACGTGGTTTTAATACTTATGTCAGTCCAGTAACATACAAGAAAATGCAGAGTTTATCATGAAGAAACAATAAGATAAGGCTACATAACATCATGTCTTAAAATCCATACTTTACTAAAGATCCTGAAATAGAGAAAATGGTCTATCAAATATGCAAATGACAAGTTAATTTTTCCAATCTCTTGTAGTTAAAAATAGATTTTACAATTATATAAATATACTGTGTTTACACATCAAAGAAGAACAAACAGTGATTCTTGGTTTATATACACAGTCAGAGGTACAATGGTGAACTGAAAGTGAATTTTAGGTGAGATTATGAGAGTGGCCATCTGTGACCTAATGACCTAACAGTTTTCAACATGCTAAAGAAAAGGGTGATTATCTCCTTGATGAACTTGATTTCTTTATTGCAGTTATGGGAAAAGGCTTGGCTGAAGGTTATTCTGACATGCAGTATGTCTTTTCTGTCTGTACTGTGCTGGGAAGTGATTTGGAAAGGGTTGTTATAGAAAGTTCTGTGCAAATTATACAGTAGATATCATTTAAAATCTAACATAGCAGTAATACAGGTATTCACAGAATAAACAACTCTTTTTCATTATCTCATATTTGTTGAAGACCTGGAAGAGCTTGATGGAAAATCTTCATGTCTCGTAAGAATTTTGGGGTTTTATAAAGTGCCTAATTCTTCATCAGAATGGAGCTAGCAGCCAACTTCATCCACCTGGCAGTGTGTGCTCAAAGCCCAGAAAGCTAACCATATGCTGAGCTACTCGAGAGGAGTGTGATCCTGCCCCTCCACTCTTGTGAGACCCCACACTACTTCCAGCTCTGGGGTCACAAAGGAGAGGGACATGGATCTGCTTGAGTGAGTCCAGAGAAGGGCCACAAAGATGACCCAAGGGCTGGAGTACCTCTCCTGTGAAGACAAGCTGAGAGAGTTGGGCTTGTTCAGCCTGGAGAAGAGAAGACTTCGGGGAGACCTTACAGCAGCCTTCCAGGATATCCATAGTGGTGAGGCAGGTCTGCAGTGAAGGTGGGAAGTCAGTCTGCAACTCAGGGTCCAGATCACTGAGGCTGTTGGCCAGGCACAGGCACAGATGAGGTGCAGTTAGAGATGGGCACTACTGCAGATTGTCTCAGCAGGAACTGAGGGCTCAGGTCTGAGCTGAAATTGGGCTGCTGGGCCCATGGGCACAAGTGTGAGTAAGGGCCCCAGCTGCGACTGTTCAGAGACAGTATGACCTATTGGTGCATGTAGCTCTGTGACAGATACTGATAAAAGTGATAAAATACATAAAATGGAAGCTGAATTGAATGTGATTGTTACTTAAGCTGTTATTGTGTGAAAGAGCAAGACCAAGAAGGAACACTCTACTGATGTACTTGATTGCTTTGCATGCACCTCATGTACAGCTTTTCCATATATGTGAACTTGTTTCATCTGCATTTATAGATTCATGCCTTGGCTGACATTTGTAAAGTCAGTATTCTAGCAGGGGTTCTACTCCTGAAGATTCCCAATGCTGCTGCAAGAGCAGATAGGATTTATAAAAACCCATAATTTGCATCTTATATCACTCTAGCTATGTGGTACCAAAGTACAGGGACGATACTGGTAACAGTAGGGCCTGAACTATGAAGAGTGCTGTGCGTGTTGGTCTACTCTTGGCTCTTCAACTGAGCAGAACTTTAACCTCTGCAATCTTGTTATATTTAAATGTGAAATAAGCATTAAGCAGCTCAGGTCTGGAGGTAAAGGTACCAGAATACTCTAGCCATTTTTCCCATAAAGTCTCCTTTTGGCAGCAACTTAGAAGATTGAACAAGGAATAGCTCCTCTCTCTCCTAGTTTACCTGAACATAGGTTTTGGTAAAGTAGTAGGAAGAAGCTTGAACAAAGACCAGCTTGGCAATGGCCTTTGTTTCCTTTATCGAATGGTTAATGTGCACAAGATAAGGAAGGGGTAAGGAATATGGTAAGTGTAGAGCACTCTTATGTGCCAGTAATGGAATTGTTTCTTGGTCTTAATCTTCTATGCTGTAGTGTAGGTCAATTTACTACTCAGTTCATAAAATACTTATTTTACAAAGTTTATCAGTACCCACATACATACATACGTACTAACATTTTCTTTGGAATAAAGAAGCATACTCCGAATATATGAAACTGTAGCTTTCATTCCATTTTCTTTTTCATGAAGAGTGTGCTTTTGAATATATCTGCTAAGGGGCAAACAGGGCCTGACATGCAGAGATAAATACAGGGCTGTCTGCAATGTCAGAAAGATGGGTGGTGCAGAGTCCTGTGTGATCATAGCAATATTATCAGTTTAAAGCAAGCAGTCTGTGCACCTTAATCTTGACAGTTGTGTCTGCATATTTTCCTAATTGTGATACAGAGTAATTCTGAGATAAGGTAGGTTTAGCTATGTCCCATTTAGGAAGCTGCTGGATCAGCTTCAATGCGCTGTCTCTAGAATTAAGTCTTATATGTATAACTTAAAAATCCTGACAGTGATTCCCTATGTTTGACATGACAGCCAACCAGAAATACCGCATTTGTCTATTACAAAATGAAAGTAGTATCTGTAAAGAGAACAGTGGAATTGCTATGGAAAAAACTGAATTTTGATTTAAAAGCCTTCATGTTGCCATTTGTGAGGAAGCATGGCTGTTAACAAAAAAATAGATATGGAAAGTTTATTTAAATATTTAAAGAAGCACTATGTTTCTAGCTTAATGTCAGAGTTTCATCTTTTTAGAAGCAATGAACTTCTGGAAGACCTTCAAATTTATTTTTTAAACTCATAAACAGCTCATACAACCCCAGGACTCCTAGAGGTAGGAACTCTAGCAATTTTCTTACCAGTTCTCCTGTGGAAGAGAATTTTCCCCCAAAATGTCTTTTATTTATAGGGAGGGAAGAGAAAGGAGACTCCTGACTACATTTTTAGGAGATAAATTGTATATAATATTGTTTATTTATCAGTATAGCAATATTGTGATAGCAATATTTAGTTTGGAGTTTGATGCATCAGTTAACACGGTTATATATTTCATG